GACCAATGATAAATCAGCGCAGAGTTTTAAACTTCTATTGTTCTTTATCGCAGATTATTTTGCAAGCCAGGTGTCCCGCCTCAACAGATGACAGCTTTTCCCTGGATGACGTTCACATAATCAGGAACATGTCTTGTGATGACCTCATTCCAACCACTACACCATACCCAACCACCACCATGACCAACGCTCCTGCCTCTGCCATGGACTGCACCTTTGAAGAAGGTAAAAGTGCAAAATTTACCAGAAATTTAGCAGAAATAGCTTCATTCGTTAATAGTATGCTACAAAATGAAATGCCATTCAAGTTCTTATGATTACTGGCATTAGAGCTTACAAATCATGGTCATGATAATGAAAATGTTAGACATAAAATTACCTTTAAGAGCTTTTTCCACAACTAAAAGCTCATAATCATTGCCATTGTGTTTTTCTTTTAATCATCAGTGACTTTGAAATATATGGACACAACTTAGCTCAATGAACAATAAAGAAATATAAATGAATTTACAATATTTGTTGGTATTATTGGTATCCCATCTCCTTCATGCCCAGTTCAAAACACCGGGCTTCATAACACGACTTCGCTAAGTATGCATTGGCTATATCCATCACTATATATGATCTATAACATATATAGTTATATAACTATAACTATATATGATCTATCTATAACATTTTAAAATATTATAGATATGAATGTGTAACCACTCCTACATGCATTTTTCTCAATTTGAGTATGTCAATTTTTTCTTTCCTGCTCATGTACTTATATCGTGTTTGAATACTCTCTTGTAAAAACAGGTCTGTGTAACTGGGTCCAGGAGGCCAATCATGATTTGAACTGGACTCTCAGTATTGGACTTCCAGTTGAGCAACCATGGGATGGACCTCAGTATGATCATACTGTTGGGAATAATGAAGGTATTCATTATTGACAGTAATATAAGCACAGAGGCAGTGCATTTATAACAGAAGTCTAGTGATACACCTTAGCTGAAAAATAATGAACAACTTTGATACCCAGTTATCCTTTGTCTTGTTTTTCTAGAGAAAGTCTTTCTTTCTTTCTTCTTCTTCTTTTTTTGGCTGTTCCTTGTAGAGGTCACAACAGTGTCTCATCTGCCTTCAACTCACCCTGTCCTTACCATCCTCACCTGTCACATCAACCTTCTGCATGTCATCCTTCACTACATCACTACTTCTCTTTCTGTTATTCTCCTGTTTAGAAGCTCCATATTCAACACCATTCGGTCACTATATCCACTATCCCTGTTCTGCAAATGTCCAAATCATGTCAGCCTTGCCTCTCTAGGTTTTTCTCCAAGCTGATCAACCTGAGCCGTCCATCTGATGTACATATTTCTAATCTCGTGTATCACTCCCAGTGAAAATCTTGGTACCTTCAACTCAGCCTCCTGTCTTCTTGTCAGGGTCACCATCTCAAACCATACATGATTACATCATACATCTCACAACCAACTTGTAAAGATTTCCTTTCTCTCTTGTTGGTATGTTTCTGTCACCTCTGACACCCATCTCCATCCATTCCACCCTGCCTATACAGTATTCTCCTGTTTTCACAACAGCCCGGCCTTTTATTCTCATCTTCATCCATTTTCCCCTCTCTATCAAGGTTTCTTTCTACTTATTAATGGATTTGGATCTAAGAATGGTGAAAAAGCAGTCATCTCTGTTCCTGTCATTACTCGTGCGTCACCAATCTGTGTTGATTTCTGGTATCACATGCTCGGGCCTTCAGTGTCAAACCTGGATCTGCTGGTTCAAACAGTATGTAACCTTTTTAACACAACTGAACCTTCAGTTTCAGGCTGTGCTTTATATCATCTTCAGATTTCTTCACATTCCTTTACATAATTTTTTCTAGCAATCATCTGAACTCTTAGTTTGGACTCGTCGGGGAACGCAGAATCCAGAGTGGATGAATGCGAAAGTAACCCTCAGCATGAATGACATAGTACAGGTAAACCTCACCTTGCCATAAAAATGTCAGTCAATTTTCAAGTAATTTTTTAGCTTCTGACTCTGAATAGAAATGTCTCTAATTCAGAAACATTTAATGTAGCACTTTGGCAGCATTAAACTTTGCATCATCCTTAATTCACAGATTGTGTTTAGTGGTCAAAGAGACACCAGCAGTCAAGGATTCATTGCTATTGATGATGTTAAAGTTAAAGAGGGGGCCTGCAGTAATCACGGTATGTAAACATTAACTCAGTACTCCCAGTTATCGTCAAATAACATCAAATCAATATCAAATAAATAAATAAAATAAAACTTTGCAACCTTTTTGTTTTAAACACCATTTAGATGTGTGTGGGTTTGACTCGGACTTGTGTGGCTTTGAGAATGATGTGAGTCATTTGGGTCGCTGGATTCGCAGAAAAGGAACAAAGCATCATGTGGATCACACATATGGAACTGAGAATGGTGAGTGCTGAACTGTGCCACAGTGCCACTGCACAATCTGGGATTAACAGAGCTGAGCAGTCATGGTCTCACTCCTACAGGACAATATTTATGCTGTAACTATAATGGTAATATATTGTAAGTCCTAAGTTTGTCCCTTGATATCAACTTGTGGATCAGAGCTCTACAATAATAAGTCACAATAAAAATGCGACTCATCATCTTGTAAAATAATTATCAAGAAGGAGTATGTTGCATAATGTAACACATTGTTTTAATGCGAAAATACTGCATAGCTTTATTACTCAATCCAATCATCTGTATTTGATGTGTTATATCTAATATTTCATACAACTCTGTTTAAAAAAAGGATTCTGTTACTTAACAGGCCTGCAGGATTATCGAGGTGTAGGCTCTTCTTTTAGCTAATCCTCTGCAGTGTTTGACACCTTTTAGATGGCAGCTAAAGCTTAGACGGCTGTTACAGACAATATAATACAATACAATATTTTACCACTGAAGCAGGAATGTTATAAATTGCCATAAGCTGATTTTCACAATCAGTCATAAGTTCAACAAATTGTCTGAAAGTAGCAGCATTGTTCTCTGCCTCAGATTTTAGTCATCGTTTCTCAGAAATGTCCCAGTCAACAGTCGTCTTTGCATTTTTGTCACAAAACAAATTTTGTTTTTATAGGTTTCTACATGATGGTAACATCAAATTCTACACAGGATGAGATCGCTGAGCTGTTCACACCAGATTTACCTTCAGTTAAAGAAATGTGTGTGCGCTTCTGGTGAGTTCAAAGATCCATCACAGATTTACAATTGGAGGTTGAAGACTGGTGCACATATTACTGTACATTTAATGTAAATGTACTATTTTTAGGTACTGGTTACCCACAGACTCCTCTAGCAACCTCGCTATCCATATAAGACAAAGCGCAGAAGTTGGTGATGTCCTCTGGCAGCAGACTGGAGGGCTCTCTGCAGGCTGGGAGGTGGCAGAGGTCACGGTGTCATCACCTACAAAATTCAATGTAAAAGCATTTGTTTTCTTTTCTGACAATCAGACAGTCTTATTCTTCCAGTATGTTTCATTTTGTATTTTTCTTTATCTTCTGTGGGAATTCTACCTAAAACAGCTGTGTTGCTTGATCAGGTGGTGTTTAAGGCTGTTCATGTGCATGGCACGAATACCACAGTGAAAATTGATGACTTTTCTGTGAGGGACGGAGCCTGTAGTCCTCTGGGTAGCTGTGACTTTGAGTCTGGACAATGCACCTGGGTCAACATCCTCCAAGAAGACGGACATGACTGGGTGCTGGCCAGAGGAGGCTTCCACGGTCCACCAACAGACCACACCACTCAAACCCCGGAGGGTATGGCCTTAAACAAGGATTACTGAGTCAAGGTTTTAGCCACAAAAATGTGATATACAGGGAAAAAAAACTAGATAAGCCAACAGTTCTCTTTGATACATTTGGATAAAGATTCTTACATGTTGGGTTGGTTTTCCATCGTCTTGCAAGACTTGGTACAGGACTTACAAGGATTTATATGACCTCCATTGCATTTTAGTCTGATGATATCAGCTTTTTGAGCCTTTTAGGGAGATTTGCATGCACATTTTGCATATTTGTGCATATTGAATAAAACAATCAAGAAACCACTCTTGGTTTAGAAAGAATTTATTTTGGTTCAAACTCTAGTGGCTGACAGCTCAGTTTTTCATTGATATCCGCATTGGCATAGACAGTATTCAGACTTATTTAAAATACATTTAAATCCTTAAAACTGCACTGACCAACATTTTTTATTTGCTTACATATTTTATGTATAATATTAAAGTGGTGACTCTTGGGATTCCCATCAGCTCTGCACTACTTAAATGTCTTCTAGCTGACACTAGCGTTACAGTTTAAGCTCACCCTTACTGCTCTTATCTGCCTTACAAATAGCTAAAGCTAAACACTCAGAAAGTCAACCAATGGTGTGGATTTCAGTTCCCAGTGAACATTTTGTCTTTGTTTGAAGTTTCAAAATGTGACAGATGGTGTGAATCATCTGAAACTTAGTTAATTATAATCAAAAACTGCTGATGTTGCAACCTGTTGATGTTGCAACCTGATCTATGTGAACTGAAGTTAATTTTTAACTGACATAACATAGTTACTTGAAACATACTTCTCTTTTTTTTATCCCTGACTTATGTCCTGTTGCTGACCTAACCTCCTCCCTGACTAGATGTAATGTTTCTAAATTCTAGATGCTCTCTATTTATAAATATCTAAACCTTAACAACTGCATTAATATCATTAGAAAATAATATGTTTAATCTTTTAACGTTTATGCTGGTGTACCCCAAGTTTGAATTGTTAAAACAGCAAAAGGAGCAGCATTAAATATTAACTGTATTTATTTATTGTGTGAATTTTGTTTTCTTTTTGCATGGAGGTCGGTTCCTGTTGAGCTCGTCACCAAACCAAAGTCACAGCAGTGTTGCACAGGTAGTGTCTGAATGGATCCAACTTAAAGACACCACATCCTGTCTCACTTTATGGTACCACATGGACAACAGGTCAGCAAAAAAAAATCAGGTTGCACTTTATCCTGTTTATCTTGTGTAGTTTCCTCACTGACTTCCTCAAGAAGTGTGCACAAATGTCATGTATTCGTGAATCACCTGCTTTACTTTGTGCAAGACTGAGAATATTCTGTGGCAGAGTTCAGTTTGTTCCAAAAAGAGTTGCACTACCAACAGTGAAACCAGCAGCCTTTTAACCCTGTAGCAGAAAGATGCCATTATTAGTTTTGGAAATGAAAAGTGTATATTTCTTGTTTTTAACAAGAATCTCTCTTTTTTTTCTCTCAACTAAAACAATTTTCCTGTTGTCCATCAGCGACTCCGGGACTTTGCAGGTGTTCATACATTCAGGGCCGTCAGACGAGGATCTGATGTTCCACAGTAACAGCAGTGAGAGCCGCTGGGGCAAGTTCTCTCAGTCTGTAGAGACATCCAAACCTTTCCAGGTATTGCAAACAGATTTAGCTGTTACATTAGAACCCAGGAATATTATATACATATTTACATGCTCTCTCAAAAACAGCTGCTGATCGAGGCAGAGACTAGCAGAGGATTCATTGCCATTGATGACATTTTTCTCACACCAGGCCTCTGTCAAGGTACAGCTATTCTTTTTTTTTTGTTGCATTCCCTTTTTTCTTAGTAAATCAAGTTACACAAAATATTTTGTTTTCTTTTTGACACAGTTAATGAAACAGATTTGGGGTTTGCGGGTTGCTCGTTTGAGAATGGCACATGTAACTGGGAGGACATCAGTGTTGGCCAGTGTCGGTGGATGAGAGGAAGGAACGTTACTGGGAATACAGGACCACCCGTGGACCACACTCTGGGCACTAATCTAGGCAAGGCCAAATACACACACTAAAGATATAATAATACATTTACACCAAGCGTCAAATCAAACTGTCTCAGATTACTTTTCCTAAACCTGGACTCTTCTTACAATCTCAGCCGGCTTTTGTCTTTTTGTACAATTTGGAAAGTCTTAGCAACACTTGTGTTTATGCAGTTTCACACTGAGATAAGTGTAGACAATCAGCAGTTTTAAGTAGGTTCTGATCTGATGTGTCCAGGTTGGTACATGGCAGTGGAACCTAACCAGGGTGATCAAATGAGCCCTGCTACCCTCCAGAGTCCCCTTATGAAACAGGCCAGCACCACCTGCATACTGCACTTCTTCTACAACATGTATGGGGAGGGTATGTTTATAGGATCTATGTCTTCAGCAAATAAATAAATAAATAAATAATACAATTCAAAAAATTTATTCCAACCTTTGCAACAATCAATCAACAGATGCAGAAGAGCTGAACGTGCTACTGAAGGAGGGATCCAGGACCACCAGGCTGTGGTGGTTATCTGGTAACCACGGAGATTCATGGCAACACGGTGAAGTAACGATTGGCAGAATACCTCAGGACTTCACCATCCTGTTTGAGGCCTCCAGGACCTTCGATATACCCGGATACATCGCTATTGATGATGTGGACTTCACCAACTGCAGCTTGCCTGGTAGGCTACCTGCTCACCCTGTGCGCTCTGATGTCCTCTTTACTATTTTGTCCCTTCTGGACATTTATTTTTTATCTTTTTAAAAATTATTATTAGAGCCACACCCTCAGTGTCCTGAGGGTGTGTTCACATGCAACAACAGCGTGTGTGTGGACACCAACCATGTCTGTGACTTCAGCGATGATTGTGGGGACTGGTCTGATGAAAACAACTGTGGTGAGAAAAGAAAAAATGCTCTGTGGTAGATTTTGTACTTGGAAACTGAATTTTTGTATTAATTACATTTATTTTTTTAATTATTCACTTCTTTCTTTATCTGCTAATCACATAGAGCTACAAGGTGTGTTGGAGCGCTGCAGCTTCGAACACGGCCTGTGTTCCTGGGCAGCAAGCGATGTGGACACACCCGGAGCTGAGTGGACATATCACAAAGGAGAGGACGCCTGGCCCCACCACGGACCTCACAGGGACCACACACAAAATTCTGATGCAGGTCTAAGAGTTAAAGTCTGAATTAACTTTGCTTTGAATCAGTAATGCTATGATTTATTTTAGTTTTTAATTCCGTCTTATCCAAACAGGTCACTACATTATACCTGGAACTCACCTGAGTGCAAGTGGCGAGACATCAGAGATTCTGTCCAAAACTTTATTGCCCAGCTTTAATTGCAAAGTGAGTTTACTGTATGTAAATTAAAGTGTTGTTTACAGAAAAACACCACCTTGTGTTTTTTAGGGTACTGACAAGTCATGTCATAAAGTTCCATAAAAGCTAAAAAATAAAAAAAATCACCAAAATGTCAAATGGGGAGAAAAAGCAGGCAGTTAATAAGCTTTTAATAAGCTGCAGTGGTTTCATTAATACAGATAATAGTAATAGCTGATGGGGGCAAAATCTTGACAGATTGACAAACTGCAGGAGATAATAATAATAACCTTTGATGTATTTAATAGCATCTATATGAAGCACTTATGGGGCACAGTACAAATAAAACTGCTGAACACTTCTGTAATTATACTACAGTAATAACAATGCTTATCTACACATATTTTTATTACCTTTCTGATTCTTATCTTGAGTAATTGCAGTAAAGTATTAACTACTCCTGCAGGTTGCTGAGTCTACAAGAATTCTTTAGCAAACACCATCCTGTCGTCAGCCCGTTCTTTTTATGCTCACGGTACTGTTGTAATACTTTCAGGTGAGATTCTTCTACTTCAGCCTGAATGATGCTTCAGGCCGACTGACTGCACAGTCCAGGACTCTACGGTCCGGTAGTGACGACAGAGTTTTATGGACCAGGGAAGCATCACAAAGCTACAGCTGGCAGAGAGCCGAGGTTACGTTGTCCTCCGCAACCAGCAGCAAGGTTAGTGAGGACACAAGCAGTTAATTGAATGGCAGCCACTGCCTCATGTGTATAAATGCTGTTAGACATCAACTTAAATAATAGCCTTAAATCCCTGAAGCTTACAGACATTATTGAAATTATAAGACCAAGAAGACTGTTGAGGCCTTTGCATAAAAGTATCTGTAGACGAATGAATACTTCTTATATGTACAATATAATTATGTGTTGTATCAGAGCAGTTCCCTGGCAGAATAATAGCTAAAAGGCCACAGTCTAATCTCTGTTTTATCCTCAGATTGTCTTTAGGTATGAGCTCGGCGACGGTCTCAGAGGTCTGGTTGCACTGGACGATGTATCTTTCTCCAGGGATTGTGTATTTGACCCCAACAACAGCGAGCTACCTGACCTGTCGTCAACCTCTGCCCCACCATCAACCTCTAACACACCCACTTCTCCACACTTGACCTCTACTGCACCAATAAACCCCTGTCAGGTAAGCTGCAGAATCTGACTTTATTTCTGTGATAGCAAACTTAGGAAACATAAATTATAAACAAGTCTAAATACACAGTGGGTATTTGTCTCTTTTTTTTCCTGATGCAGGATAATGAGTTTTTTTGCTGGCAGTCACAGGGAAAAGTGTGTATTCTGGCTACCTTACAATGTGACTATCATCTAGACTGCCCGCAGGGGGAAGACGAAGCCGGCTGTGGTGAGAGCTGCATATTGTATTCAAGTTTGTCTTGAAAAAAGTGTTATTATCAAAGTTGTGGCAAAAATCCATTTAATCACTGTTTTTCCTGAATGTGGCTAGTTGGAGAGGTCATTTAAAACAGTAACGCTGCCATAAAATACACTTCTGTAGTCCTCTAAATGCTAATGTTGCCTACTGCGACAGTCCTTAAAATAATTCCTCCTTTGCAATGGTTAAAATGGTTTATTCATCCCATTTTAAAGCCTGCATGTTGTGGTGCTGCTGAATTTCATTATTAGTGTTTTTACATTTTGACAGTAAATATGGTAGAGTAAATATTACCAAACAGTATTATGAAATTTCACTCTTACTTACAGTGTTTATCCACTGTATAAAGATAGTTTTATTCTCAGGCTTTTTTTTTATGCCAAATATTCATTTTTTTTTAAGCCGTGCTGTATAAAAAAGAAGCACTGGAATAGTTGGGAAAGTTTTCATAAGCGCAAGAAATCAGATACAGATGGACTCTGCATAGAAATGAGTTGCACACTTATCCCCAAACAGGTCATGTGCAATTTCAGCGCCAATGAAAGAAGAAATTTAAGTCCTCGCACACTTATGCAGTGTTGTGATTTGTAAGCCTTGATGACAATTTCAGTGCTTTGACATAACCCTAAATAGGCTGTTTGTGCTAGAAAACCCTCCAATGTGGTTGAATTATAACAATTCTGCAAAGAAGAGTGGGTCAAAATTCCTCCACAGCAATGTGAACGATTCATTGCCAGTTATCGCAAACACTTCGCTGCCGAGGGTGGTGACTTACAATTATTAGGTTTAAGGGGTGAGTACTTTTCATATATGGGAGACTAGTAGGTTTGCATAGCTTTTATTCCCTTAATAAATGAAATCATCAAAACTGCCTTTTGAACTCAGGAAGGGGGCAAAACGTTTTCACAGCACTGTAATTGCCACCAAAACCAATTGTATGCCTTTAACAGGAGAAAACTGGATCAGTTATGCTCTTCTTTCTTTTGAGGCTTGTGTTTGGGCCCAGCACCTGTTTTTTCTTTGGCCGTGATGACCATGAATATTGTGACTGTTTTATCAGCAGAAATTCCTTTGACTGACGCACCTGCATACAACACAAAATCTTTTAAAAGCGGTTTACTTCTCTCGAGTGAGTGATTTCCACAGCAGTGTTACATCTCTTGATTTGAACCCTTCAGGTCCGTGCACATTTGAGAATGATCAGTGCCGATGGACTGATGTTAGCGATGGACAGAGCAAGTGGCAGAGGCAGGGAGCCAGTAACAACACTGAGCCACCCACTGATCACACTGCAGACACAGGTGGCTGTTATTGAGTAGTTCATTGATGTTATTGTCATAGCTTCACTTCACAGCGTGTTTAATCACCACGTGTCTGTTATTCTCAGGCTACTACATGAGAGTTAATTTCAGTAAGGGGTCTACACAGAGTGAAGCTCAACTCCAGAGTCCCCCGCTGTCTCCTTCGTCCCCCTACTGCCAGATTCGGTAAGCAGTGATGCGCAGACAAATGATCGCGTCAAACCTGGTTATTTTGATGGATATATTTGATGGATATGTCCGTGTATGAATTGCTCAATGCTTCAAAGCTCCCCTCCCCTCTTTCTACCATGCAAGTGTCTTCCCAATCCAACGCTCTCTCTGCGTCTTCCTTCCTTCTTTCCTACACACAGGTTTCACTTCCACATCAGTGCAGAGAGCGCTGGGTCACTCAGAGTGCTTATGCAGCAAGCTGGAGGGAGTGAAGCAATCTTGTGGTCACGTAGTCACAGCACCGTCTCTCATTGGAGCCCGGAGCATCTGCCTCTCGGCCTGCACCAGCAGCCTTATAAGGTGTTTGATTTTGCCTCCTCTCAACAATGAAAAATGTACACAGGAAGCAATGAGAACAAATGAGTTTCATATAATAATAAATAATAAATACTAATCATTAAAAAGTGCCTGACCATTTTTGTCACCAGGTTTTGTTCAGTGGCATGAATAATGCAGCTGCTTCTCATGTTGTTGCTGTGGATGATATCTCTTTCCTAAACTGTGAAAAATCCTACCAACCTCCAGGTAAATAAAGTTAATTCAAAGTGACTGTTAGTGAATATATGACATGAGAGGTAGGGGAATGAGTGTGGTGCATGTATCATTTTATATCCATTTTTGTGCCATGTTCAGACTTCCAGGATTATTTTTGTTTTCCTTCCCTTCTCAGCTCTGGCGTCCTTTGGCTGTTCTTTTGAAGATGGTCTGTGTGCTTGGGTTCAGGGGGCTGAGGATCAGCTGGACTGGCTTAGCGGGGCAGGTCCCACTCAAACCTCTAACACCGGGCCTGCAGGAGACCACACCAGCAGCAAAGGTCCTTTTACCTCATGCTAAATTTTCATTATGCTAGTCTGTATATTTATGCAAGTGCCAGATGCCTTGTGTCCATCAAGGCTGGCCTTTGTAACCTTTGCTGAGCATCAGCCACTGTAACCACAAGAGACCATTAATGTAAATTGACTGTTGACATTATAACAAGTAGAACTGAGTGAACAGGACAGACTGAGTAATGTCCATCACAAAATGGCAGAATGCACATAAAAGACAAATCCTGCAAGACTAACTGCAAGATGGTGCATCTTAATTCCACAGTTAAAGCTTAAAATTGATTAACTGGGGAGTTTTCATAAATTGTTATAAACATTAGCTTAGTTTTTGGGACTATATAACCAAAAAGAAATAGTATTGTATTGCTTGAAGCAGTGGCATGATACATAAAATTATAGTCTTACAAAATGTCTATTTCTTTTTACCTTTAGCATTTATCAAATTTTGGTTTCTAAAATTCTCTCTTTAAACTTTTTATGGCTCAGTGTGACACAATGTGAAAGTGGAGCATCACTCCTCACATGCCACATATGCAAGCTTAGGACATAAGTTGCAAATTTATTTTTATTAAAAGGTTGAGACCTTGAAGTTGTCTTGTTTTTGTTTCACAGGGAAATACCTTTACATCGAGAGTTCCTCACCGAGCATAAAGGGTGATTCAGCCCAGCTGAAGTCTTCACTGCTTCCACCTGCTGGTGAAAAAGGATACTGTTTTTCATTTTGGTACCACATGTTTGGAGCCACTGTGGGTTCCCTCAAGATGTTCCTGCAAACATCTGATCCCTTAGAGAAAACTCTGGTAAAAATATGCATGAAATTAGTCATTTTCTCAATTTATTTTATCCAGTGAACGCCAAAAAATATGGCAGAGGCCTTAAGAAGGCCACTTAGGTTTTTTTTTTTCTTTTTGTTAGTCATGCCGTTTTAGTCTGGACACGTTACTTCCCTTTACTGCAGGAAAAAAAAAGGGAAAAAAACGTCTGTGTGGCCGATTGAGAAATATTTGCGGCTGTTTCCACTGTGTTTTTCTCTGTGTTATTATACTTTTCACATTCTTGTGAAATGCTGATTGCAAAATCACATTAATGCATGGCATAATGAATGCAAGATGCACACTTTCAGTGCATAACACTGAGAACCTTAACAGACAGTGCATAACACTGTGTTGCAAAAATCCTCCTCACATCCTTATTGGGATGAGTGAATCAACATTCTGTCTTTCCTGTAGGTGTGGCAAAAATCAGGAAACCAAGGAGATGAGTGGCTGCAGGTTCAGAGCCATGTGAACCTGCAGAAAGTCCACCAGGTTGTTCTGGAGGCAGCAGTGGGGGGAGAGGCTGGAGACATAGCCATTGATGACATCTCCTTGAGTCCTGGAGCATGTCCTGTTTCTGGTAATGGAGCTGAAAATGATAAAAATTCCAAGCAACCACATTAATGTCTGTTATTTGCTATTTTTTGCCACACATGTTAAGTAATTATATTGTTCCTTTTCAGTTTACTAACTGTATAGATCAAATAAAATGCTAAATGGGGGCGTAATAGTCATTTTGCAAGTATTCATTTAAAAAATGATGCAATAAGTGTATAAAAACATACCAGGTACTTCACATGGGCATTTCAAGTTGCCCTGCCTCACACTCTCCTCTCCCCAGATACCAAAACAAGCCCTCCAAAATTTGTGAGGAAGCTGCCAAATTTCTATTTCATCCTCTGTCAGCTGCATCTCTCTCTGATGTTTCAAACTTCCATCATCCCAACATCCACCCCTTGGCTCCAAAGAGATGTTTACTTAAGTTTAGACTCCAATTTCATTCATTTGCTCTATTAGAGTTCAAACAGGAGCTCTCTGACCAAAATACAAAATAGTTTAGCAGCTCACTGAAACTGCAGCAGAACTAGTCTTATCCAAGGCACAGGGAGCTAATTAACTGCAACAGATATTACAGTGTTAATCAAAAACTGTCATGTCTAATGTCCTCAGATTAAGTTAAAATGTAATAATGTTGTACAGATTTGTGTGACTTTGAGGATGGGAGCTGTAACTGGGAGCAGCAAGCAGCCAGTGATTCTGAGTGGATCAGACATCAGGGATATACTCACAACCCTTACACAGGACCGGAGAGCGATCACACCACCAGCACACCTACGGGTCACTACTTCTACCTGCCTTCATCGTCTACTGACCGAGCTGGCCAGAAAGCTGCAATGTTTTCACCTCTGTACCCAGCGGGTGAGAGACTCAGCAGTATTTTTATATAATGCAGACAGGGGCCCGCGTTCAAACAGGGCCAAAACAGTTCAGGGGATTCAGATGTGATTTTTTTTGTCCTTCAGACAAAGGATCTTGCGTGCAGCTGTGGTACCACATGTATGGCAAAGGAATGGGGACACTAAATGTTTACCAGCAAAGTGAAGATGGGAAGGAAGCTCTGATTTTCTCTCAGACAGGAGACCAGGGCCTTCTGTGGAGGTTCGCTCGGGCTTCTCTTCTGCCTCGGCTTCATCCTTACAGAGTGAGTCACAAAGATCCATCCAAACTAGTGAACAGAGCAATTTAAGTCATAAATAAGTTATTTAGTCCAGTGAGAAAATTAGTTTTGTGTATTCAGTACATACAGAAGCAGAGGGCAGCGCTCCAGCTGTAAACCAGTGCCTTGATCAGAGGCACAAAAACAGTTACATAAATAAACACGTGTGAACAAATAGATGCACAGACAACAACAAAAAAGCAGTACAGTGTCTAAATACATTTTTAATTTTTCACACACACACTTATTCTAATATAAAACATAGTTAATGCTTTTCTGTTAATTCAGTAATTATAAAATATTAGTACATTTTAATACAGGTTTAACCCTGCTGTGGGTCATTATGTCCCCATAATCAGTATTATTACTCACCACTGAGGTTGTTCTTTTTTTTTGATGACACTGTACTTTCACTTCCACTACATTGTGGTATTGTTACACAAGTAAACTCTGGGAGTGTTTTTTTTTTTCATTACTACAACTGTATATATTTGTAAGCCATTTCCTTTATGTTGTTTTCATATGCTGCTTAATTTGACTGTGTTTAAACAACATCTGTAAATATTCAAAATAATGTAAGAGGTGTCATATTTTCATTTAATCTTTGTGTTGTGTAGAAAAAAGAGTTGTTTTTGTAAAATGGAGTTGAAACGCATGCACTAATTGTTCTCCGAAAACACTAAAGTGTTTCCTGGTAATAATGTGGTGAATTAGAGTAATCTACAAAAAACAGAAGACCAATATTTCAAAACCTGATCACATAAAACTGCATAAACACATATTACTGTGAGAGTTTATTTTCTTGGGCAGACAAAAATTATGGCACATTAATTGGTAACACTACTTTGAGTGTACAACAGTGCAGTGTCATGGAAATGATACAAAAATATAAAAAAAAAAAACACTAAAATAACTCTTCCACTAAGATTTTTTAAAATCTGGTGTACATGCTTTGTGTCTCAGATTGTGGTGGAAGGTGTGAAGGCCGGCCCTACACAGGAGGGGGACATGGCTATTGATGATGTACAGCTGACTGATAATCAGTGTCCTCCTCGTGGATTTTGTGACTTTGAGGACACAATGTGTAGCTGGAGCAACCTGGGTGAAGGAGTCGACCAGGGAGACTGGCTCCATGGCAGTGGTGGTTCCCCGAACCCACATACAGGACCCAGTGTGGATCACACTACTAATTCCACACAAGGTAGTAACTATACCGGATAGAGACAAAAAGTAGACTTTACAGATGCACAAAAAACACAATTGCCATGAGCAGTGTTGGTCAAGTTACTTGAAAAATGTAATCAGTAACTAATTACTGATTACTTCCCCAAAAAATCCCGTTACTTTACTGATTACTTATTTTCAAAAGTAATTAATTACTTAGTTACTTCGTTACTTTTTAAAAGCACGATTTACAACCTGAATAGGTGATAAAGCAATAGCTCTTTCAGCCCAATTCTACTTTTTTTTGCATAATCCATCATACAAAATGTAATCAAATGGAAAAGTCTCCCTTTTTAAAACTTGTTTTATTAGTTTTAATCTTTTAACTTTATGCATCAAGCAAAAATTTAATTATATGTAAAATTCTCTGACTGGAAGAAATTTGTTTAACATTTAAACCTATTTTCTGCACATTCCAGAACATAAAATAAAATATTTTTTTGTGTTTACACTCAGTCTTTCAAATAGATGCAAGTAAAACACAGTAGAAAATAAATAAAATCAAAGACTAGCAGCCCTGTTGCTCTATTTTCACCTGTAAAGCAGGACTGCGGTAGGCGGAGGTTTACCCTGGTGCAGGTGTGCCACAGCGGTCAGTGGAAGAATCCGCGAGTTTCTCTGTGAATTTCCCATTACGTGGTTGCGCACTCGGTGCTTGCTTGGAAGTTTAGGGGGTTTTTTTCTCGCTGTAAAAAGAAGTTTTCTTCCCACGCACAACGGACACTAATGTTTTTGTCACTTTTTACGGAATCAAACTCAAAGTAAGGTCAGTACTTCCACGCTTTAAACGCTGCACACTCATACTCTCTCCCACAATCGATATATTATCCTTTGTTGATCTGCACACAGCTGTTGTCACGAACGTCGCACTCGCTTACGTCACTGTCATGAAACATTCTCGCAAAAAAAATCACGGTTTTAGTAACGCAGTAACACAGCGTGCTTACGGGAAAGTAACGGTAATCTAATTACCGTTTTTGCGATAGTAATCCCTTACTTTACTCGTTACCTGAAAAAAGTAATCGAATTACAAGTAACGCGTTACTGCCCATCTCTGGCCATGAGTTCAGTTATACAGGGAGTGCAGAATTATTAGGCAAGTTGTATTTTTGAGGAATAATTTTATTATTGAACAACAACCATGTTCTCAATGAACCCAAAAAACTCATTAATATCAAAGCTGAATGTTTTTGGAAGTAGTTTTTAGTTTGTTTTTAGTTTTAGCTATTTTAGGGGGATATCTGTGTGTGCAGGTGACTATTACTGTGCATAATTATTAGGCAACTTAACAAAAAACAAATATATACCCATTTCAATTATTTATTTTTACCAGTGAAACCAATATAACATCTCCACATTCACAAATATACATTTCTGACATTCAAAAACAAAACAAAAACAAATCAGCGACCAATATAGCCACCTTTCTTTGCAAGGACACTCAAAAGCCTGCCATCCATGGATTCTGTCAGTGTTTTGATCTGTTCACCATCAACATTGCGTGCAGCAGCAACCACAGCCTCACAGACACTGTTCAGAGAGGTGTACTGTTTTCCCTCCTTGTAAATCTCACATTTGATGATGGACCACAGGTTCTCAATGGGGTTCAGATCAGGTGAACAAGGTGGCCATGTCATTAGTTTTTCTTCTTTTATACCCTTTCTTGCCAGCCACGCTGTGGAGTACTTGGACGCGTGTGATGGAGCATTGTCCTGCATGAAAATCATGTTTTTCTTGAAGGATGCAGACTTCTTCCTGTACCACTGCTTGAAGAAGGTGTCTTCCAGAAACTGGCTGCAGGACTGGGAGTTGAGCTTGACTCCATCCTCAACCCGAAAAGGCCCCACAAGCTCATCTTTGATGATACCAGCCCAAACCAGTACTCCACCTCCACCTTGCTGGCGTCTGAGTCGGACTGGAGCTCTCTGCCCTTTACCAATCCAGCCACGGGCCCATCCATCTGGCCCATCAAGACTCACTCTCATTTCATCAGTCCATAAAACCTTAGAAAAATCAGTCTTGAGATATTTCTTGGCCCAGTCTTGACGTTTCAGCTTGTGTGTCTTGTTCAGTGGTGGTCGTCTTTCAGCCTTTCTTACCTTGGCCATGTCTCTGAGTATTGCACACCTTGTGCTTTTGGGCACTCCAGTGATGTTGCAGCTCTGAAATATGGCCAAACTGGTGGCAAGTGGCATCTTGGCAGCTGCACGCTTGACTTTTCTCAGTTCATGGGCAGTTATTTTGCGCCTTGGTTTTTCCACACGCTTCTTGCGACCCTGTTGACTATTTTGAATGAAACGCTTAATTGTTCAATGATCACGCTTCAGAAGCTTTGCAATTTTGAGACTGCTGCATCCCTCTGCAAGATATCTCACTATTTTTGACTTTTCTGAGCCTGTCAAGTCCTTCTTTTGACCCATTTTGCCAAAGGAAAGGAAGTTGCCTAATAATTATGCACACCTGATATAGGGTGTTGATGTCATTAGACCACACCCCTTCTCATTACAGAGATGCACATCACCTAATATGCTTAATTGGTAGTAGGCTTTTGAGCCTATACAGCTTGGAGTAAGACAACATGCATGAAGAGGATGATGTGGACAAAATACTCATTTGCCTAATAATTCTGGACTCCCTGTACAGCATGAGTAACTCAAGCAGCATTCATAAAGAATCATTGTGCGAATAAAGCACTTTACAATTATTGGCTCGTGAGAAATAGCAAATGAGCGCTGACTGTTTGAAATTTCATGCATGAAACACTTGGCTCGGTGCCTAATGCAGAAGCAAGCTGTAAACCAGACGACAAAACTGTTAGCAGGAGGTCACTTTTTACACAATCAGAAAATATAGAGCTAAGTTTATTCAATGTTTGCATTAACCTGATGTTCTTGAATCTAACATTCACTTTTTTTTTTACGTCTCTTTTGGGTCTCCTTTGGTCCTGGAGGAACCTGGAGGAGTTCTTACTTGCCTGAGTCTATGATAGACTCCAGATATATAAAAAGATGAATTAGATTAATTCTAAATAGAATATAAATATTAATTGTAGCAGTTTTATTCGCCAATAAGGTTCCGCATAGAGACAGAATTGATTATATAGAATAATTTGTCATCGGTAGACTGTGTTTGGCCTAAAGGAAGTATACCATCTGATAAGATAAGATAAGATAAGATAAGATAAGATAAGAGGAACTTTATTTATCCTGAGGGAAATTCTTTTGTCGTTCATTATTTTGATATGCATGCTTGTTTGAAATCACAGTTCTTTATGACACTGGCTGCTATTGTTAATCTGAATGTGCTTGCTGTGTTTCCATCAGGTCACTATGTTTACGTGGACAGTTTTGTGGGTGAGTGGGGAGTCTCATCCTTCCTGGTCAGTGATGTTTTACAGCCCTCCACACGAGGGCACTGTCTCACATTCTGGTACCACATGTTTGGAAACCATGTTGGGACTCTCCGTGTCTATATAAATAACAGGTAAATACTTCTGTCTGAAGATCATTAATATTAAACAATATTATTATACGAATGAAATTTTCTGCATTACATAAAATAAATGGGTGTCATCCTGTCTTGCAGGAAAATGCAGGCTGGTGGTGATGAAGTGGGCCTATTGAAGTGGACTGAAACAGGAAACAAGGGAGAAAAGTGGCAGATGGCAAATGTGTCTGTCACGCATGATGAAGCATTTTGGGTATTACTGAGCTTGTGATAAGTTTCATGTGGAGAAATACACAAAATATAAAAGTGAAAAATGAAATGTTGATTTTATATTGCAGCAGATTACATTACAGATTACTTACCATTACAGAGAAATGATTCACAGATGGACACAAGTAACACATTTGGAACAAAAACTCTTATGACTGCTTTTTGATAAAGCCCATTAGCCAATTTTTATGATGACTGTCAACAAAGGCAGGAGTTGACTTTAGAAGTCTAAAATTACTCCATTTTAAAAAAATATATACATATAATAATAATAGGGGTATGGGTTGTACAGTGGTTACCCACTTTGTACCTATGGACGTAAACAAACCCAGGTCCTGGTGACTCAGGATTTAAACTATGTGCTTTTCAGATGTGGATCCCAGGGCCCCACATCACATGAAAATGTTTCTGTTAAAAAAAAAGGCTTTGAGTGCTAGGTGAGAGTAATTGCTATATAAATTAATGCTGCATTATCACTACGTTTGATTTATTTGTTTTAACACTTACAGTTGTAATATTATATTCTTATGGTATATATTTAAAATTATGACTTATTCAGTTTCATCTTATTCAGCGTCACGACGTGGACGTGTGTATTGCACTGCTTTTGTCGTTATCAGGCGATGAACATTTGATGACCTGATTGCTCCTCGTGTTTTAACTTTGCTCTTTGATGCGTAACAGTTCTTCTCAGTTGGTTCTTTATAATATTTAATGATAATTTTACTTATGGATGGACAAAATGTTAATTTCAGTTATGCAGAGAAGGTCTGACAAGGATTTTTATGCAAACCCTTCATGAACCTCAGCATTAACAAAACACTGAAATATTAAACTAAAAGCAGCACTTAAGAGATTATGTATTTGAATGGGTTTACTGAGGATTTATATAATTTGTGGCTGAGTATTTCACTTTCTCTCAAAGCCTTCATTGTCTGGGAATTTTGACAGATGTCAGGAGCAAACGTTTGAATTTATAGGCGATGGCATACATGCTGTAAATGCACTTGTATTTATGGGCTTTAAGACTTTATTTACATTTAAATTACAGATTGTTTGTCAGTTCTTTTGTTAAACCTGCGACTCACCGACTTCATTCATGGAATTGAGCACTCATATACACCCATACAGTGATATACCAATCCCTTTAATTTAAGCAGTCTGGATCATAATTTTGTTTTTGCATGGAAGTAATATTCTTCTTATGTGATTTGTACACAGTTGTGTGAGCTGAGAGGTGGGCAGCAGTATATATTTGACAGCTACATTGCCTCGCTACAGTCTGCTTCATGTTTTTTTTTAGATATTTATGTAACCTTTAAACTTCTCTCTCTTTCCTTGCCACAGTTTGTGTTTGTGTATCAGCGAGGCAGGATGGCAGGTGGGGATGTTGCTCTTGATGATATCACCATCATCCCAGGCAGCTGCTACACAGAGCCTTCCATTGATCACTCTGACAATAAGGGTAACTGTAACTTCATGAATACATCTTACTATTTTTTTCATAGAAAACTAGAAGAAAATAATTTCTTGTACTGTGGAAAAATGCTTTTCTTATGTAAAAAATGACAAATTATTTGTGGGTTTACATATGATCCCAAATGACCATAGCAAAACACCTACTTGCATTAATATTTGGGGCAGACACTGTCTCTTTTTTTTTTCTTCTTTTGCACTTTATAGCACAGACTGCCAAGCAAGGTTTACTCCCAATTGTTCAAATCAAGATACTTTAAATGGGTCACGAATATTTATCATTTGATTTTGGCAGCTTGAAGTTAGTGTTAGGATGCCTGGGTCGTTGACCCAGGGTTTTTGAGTTTATTATATTATGTATACTTTCTAGTCTTTGGTTTCTTTGAGTTCTGTCTTATGGTTTATGTCTCTGTCTTCTTTAATGGCTCTGTCTCCCCTATCACCTGCATCCCCTTGTCTAGTTCGCGTCTATGTGTATCCTAAGTTCCTATATCCCCGTGTTCAGTCAGTGTTTGTGTCTGCCGTGGTCCCACGTCTCTGTTCCCTTTGTAGTGCCTGCATGTGAGTCTGCGTCTTTGTTCAGTCTGTGTTATGTGTTTCCTGTTTTACTTTGAAGGTCTCTGTCTTTTCTCAGTGTGTTCAGTTTACGCTTCTTTGGTCTCGTCAGTTCTGATTTGCCCCAGCTGTGTTTCCCTCCTGTTACTCATTTCCTGATTGCTCCCTCTGAGTATTTAAGCCCTGTGTTTCTTAGTGTCTGTGTCGCGATCTATATGGGCTCAAAATGTAGTCATAAATATTTTGTACTTGTAAATCGGGTTTGTACTTGTGAAAAAGATTTGTGTGTGCGTGAAAAAGATTTGTGTGTGCGTGAAAAAGATTTGTGTGTGCGTGAAAAAGATTTGTGTGTGCGTGAAAAAGATTTGTGTGTGCGTGAAAAAGATTTGTGTGTGCGTGAAAAAGATTTGTGTGTGCGCGTGAAAAAGATTTGTGTGTGCGTGAAAAAGATTTGTGTGTGGACTTAGCCAAAAAAACCCTACAAGTTACAAGTACGAATTTTGACCCTATTTTTCTTCCTTTCATCTGATTGGTGAATGTCATGTCAATCACAAATGTAACAATCCAATCAGAGAACAGATGGGTTTGGCTCTCAGAGGGGCGCTTTTTTTGAACTGCAGGTCTTTGAAGGGAATAAATGCCCTTTTACATGCCAACCCAGCGTTTACCTTCATCACCACGAAGGAAAACAGTCTGTGGTCGTCCGAGTTTGGTGATTTTTGTGTCACAGGACTACGTGTTTAATTTCAGGGACTTCCACAGCCTTTTCAACAGTGCTGCGGACAGCGCTGCGGATGCGGGGGGGGGGCGGGCCAGTGTTTTGGAAATGACAGTCTTCATTACAAAGCTTTCTTCGTTATGGATTAGCATACATGTTTTTATTGAACTTTTGAAGAACCAGCAAAAAACCTCCACAAACTCTTGTAGTTCACATAAAGTCAGAGATAAAAACGACAAGGAGCAGGTGCATCTAGTGCAGGTAGAGCTGCTGCAAAAACCCACAGAGCCCAGCAGCCAGCAACAAATTCTGGATCCTTTGCTTTTAGTTAGCAATTAGCATTAGCAGCACATCCGATGCGTCTGATGTGAAAGGACTTTTATGCTGCGCGCTGTGACTCACAGCAATGGTCCCGGGTCAGCCCTGACGTTGTGTTAAACTAATCCTAAAGTAATAATGGTATTTCTAACCACTGATATACCACAACTTAATCCTTTCAACAGCTGCTGAAAGTAAGGGGACCTAACTGCTATCGGATATTTATATAGAGATTACCCTTCAAGGACCTGCAGTTCAAAAAAAATGCCCCTCCGACAGTCAAACCCATCTGTTCTCTGATTGGATTGTTTAATTTGTGATTGACATGACATTGACCAATCAGCTTAAAGGAAGAAAAATAGGGTCAAAATTCGTACTTGTAACTTGCAGGGGTCTTTTTGGGCTAAGTCCACACACAAATCTTTTTTACACACGCACAAATCTTTTTTACACATACAAATCTTTTTTACGCATGCACAAATTTTTTTTACACATACAAATCTTTTTTACAAGTACAAAACCGATTTACAAGTACAAAATATTTATGACCCCATTTTGAGCCCATATGTTTACCTCCACCGGACAGTGTGTATTTGACTAAACAATGACCAGACAGTGCTGCTCATTTATGTGCTTTTATCTGCCTTCACTGATAAGAAGAACATCTTTGAATACTGTCAGCTTCGTCTTTCAGAAAATTAAATATTGGAAAAACAGTCATCTGTTTGAATGTGCATTCATCATGGTTCTCTTTGTGTGCAGGTATGATTGTCGGCCTTGCAGTTGGGCTAATTGTTCTTGCTGGGATCATCATCTTCATCGTCCTTGTTATGCTGAACCAAAATCATAATAAAATGTAAATTTAACAACAGTGATTAGGGATTCAACATCAGGTGCACATTAATGATTGCTCGTTTTTGATGTTCAATAACATTTGTACTTTGTGGTCAGGAATCAGCAGCTATTTGTGAACGATGACGATGCGATTAACCAGAACTCAATGTTTGACCTGTATGACTGCAGAATAGATGTAAGTAAACATGATGTGGTAACAGGAATCCTGTTTTTTTTTTTGTTTTTTTTTATCAGATTATTTAAATATGTTTCTTTTCAGGGCACGCAACATGGCACTGAATCTGACTTCTCCTTCTTTAACAAGATTTATGATCCATCGCCGCAAGCAAGGGAGGCCACCACTTCATCGACTGACGCTTAGGACAGATGTTTTTCTGTCAAAGTAAATAAAATAAGTAAAATCGAAAGGATTTTCTCTTTATTGAATAGATGTTAATTTCATGAAATCAAGTAAATTACGTTGGAATGTGCATGTGGGACTTTTCTCAGGAGAGAACATAATCAGTAATTCCTTAAGTGTAGGATGCATCCCCCTGGTGGGCCCTGAAGATACTGCAGGTTGGCATAACAATCTTTTGCCTTTTAAATTATTCACATAAAAAAACAAAACAACACTAAAAGAAGACAACCATTGTATTTAAAAATGAAGCATTACTCTTGGTTTTCTGAACCATTTTCCCATCTTTAGCATTCACTTGTAACAGGAAAAACTAAAACAGGGGAAATGGCTATCAGGTGCAAGAAGTAAAGCTGCTGCCAGCAAGTCGAGACTAAATCAAAGTGAATCAGTGAAAAATACATTGAAGAAAAAATACTCTAGCTTCTGCCTGTGCTGAGGTAAAACCTTTGCAAAAACTTATAGTATTCTTATTTTAGGAAACTATACATTTTCCTGTCATTGTGTAAGGGCACTTTTTCTATAAAGGATCTTATGATGTCCAAAAGCAGCAGCTTCTTTCAAGTCTTTTTATTAGACAAAGTGCAATGTATAATACAAAGCACTTTCAGAATTTCTACATTCTAGTTCTCTCCTCGACCATTAAACAACAAAGAAAAACACACAACCAAACATAAAACAAACAAACAAAAATCAGGAACAATAGTCGTGGGCCTTTCAAAAAAAGTCCAGAAAAGGGGACCACAGTTTATAACATTTGTTTTTTGGCCCACAAGAGATTCAGGGTAGTGGCTCAGTTTCTGACCACATTACTGAGGTTTACTACAGTGTCAAGCTAATATACAGTGGTGCAGCGGTCTCCATTCCACATGTTTTCTATGGTTATATTAGCATCAAAATACACTTGAAGTGTTTGAAGTGCTACATGTAAAAGGCTTTCCTTATGGAGGATGCATATTTTCAAGAATGATGTTTGGTCCTGAGTTCACCCACTTTAACAACTGTGTCCGTCCTGATTGTCCATGGGAAATATTCAATTATCAAAATAAAAAAAGAATTCATTTGTTTTCTTTTCTAAAAACAAATATAGAAGGTATAATTTATTAAGTTAACATAGGCTAATTCTGACTAATTACAACAATCCATTTCACACTGATCAGTAGCTGCACTTCATGTTCCAGAGGTTGTTCAACAGAATTAAACTTAAAAAACATTCAGTTCTGTTATTTCAAGGCGCATCCTAATTTATTTTTGCCTATCCAAAATGAGAAACCCATCCAAGTCAAGTAAAATACTTTTACCACAAAAAAAGAAAGAAAAAGAAAAATATTTAATTTTTAGGATGATGACTGAAGTACTCTGGTCTTCTGCAGGCACATCCTTTACTACTCAGTTTTTAAAAATCCTGGAAACACCTGCTTTCAAGATTACCTGTCTGCATAACGTAATAATCTGTGTGTGCAAGAGAAAAAAAATGTCTTCTAGAACATCGAAGGCCCTTTTTTTTCCCATTGTGATTCATTTATTTGATTACTCAAAAAAAAAAAAGAAAACTGGATCTTCATGGGGCCCCTGCTTGGGTTTGAGAATGTCACTACTACGCCCCTGTGTCCGCTCAACGAACCCACTAGGTCGGGAAAAAATCAGTAAACTGCATTTTTAAAGCCAAAGATTGGCTTTAAGGCTCCTTATTTATTCCCACCGTGGCATACATCGAGCAGCAGTTGAAGACAGCCGCGTTTTTTTTTACGGCTTTTAGCCCACCAAACCACTTGGGACGTTATACTCGACGGCTTCATTGAACGAGCTCACAATCAGAGAGTACCAGGAAGACAGACAGAGGGAGAACTGTGCTGAAAGAACAATGGGAGTAGACGTCGAAACCCTCAGACCAGGAGACGGTAAAGCTTTTTTTGTCCTCCCCTCTTTGGTTCCAATTATTCCGTCCGTTTAAAACTATATTTGCCTTTGGGTGTATATCAACCTTCGTTTTCTTTCTTCAGGAAAGAATTTTCCGAAGGAAGGATCGACAGTTTCAGTTCACTATGTCGGTAAGCCTCGCCTCTTTTTGACCATTTATTCATTTACTTCGAGGTGAAAAAATAAATATGTATTAGTATAAACTGGGTTTGTAATAAGCATAATTTCTCATTTCGTGGACCTGCGGACAATTAAATGAGAATTTGATTGGTGGCAGCAAGCTAATTCTGTAGCTAGCACTGCTTAGCTTAGCTTAATTTAGCGTAGCATAGTTTAGCGCCTGGAAATGAGGGGGCGGATAGCCGGACTCTAAAGACACCCTCTCTGTAATTCCTTCCCACCTTTAAGATTGCCTCGTAATACCTACAATAAATAAAATGCGAGAAACTGCAAACTATCGCTAGGGTAACGTGTGTCTTTATTCTAAGGATTTGTGCTAATGTGAGATATTCTAGCCGCATCCTGACGGCAGCTTCCGGCGTCCTAAGATGTCGAACAATTCCTGCTCAAACTAAGCTGCACCGTGTACCCTCAGCAGTACATTTTTACCCAGTCACCCTGTGTGTGAATACAACATGACAGTCACTCGAATCTTTTAATTTGTATCGTTTGGCTTCGCAGAGGCTATCAGGCTTTGACTTTATTAATTTGGGGGTGCTTTCCGACAGGCACCCTGACAAACGGCAAGAAGTTCGACTCCTCCAGGGACCGAGGATCACCCTTCCAGTTCAAACTGGGCGCAGGTGAAGTCATCCGTGGTTGGGATGTAGGTGTAGCTAAGGTAAGTGGAGCTTTGAAGGGGCACACTGATCAATGTTATGTTAAACACATGAAGATACGTTCGGTGCCTTCGTTTTGGCAATAGCTCCGAGTCATTTCCCCCTCAAAAATAACAAAATATCACTGTGGCTTACTTTAGTGTTTATGTGTAAGATTATTGTAAGTCACAAATGAATCTGTTAAGATGTTTCTGCCTTTTATTATCAGAGGCTGCAAATATGAGCAGAAACCAGGCCATCCATTATCTACATTTTACACTCTGAGCCATTTTATCTGATGTTTGCTAGCAAGCCATTTTAATTCTGTTATTTCAGTACTGCTTTTTAGAGCTTATGTTTTATCATATAGATTTTTATTTAATATTTGCATACTTATTTTAGTTTACATTTTCATTTCAAAAGGATTTTATTTTTAATAAAGTAATGGTCTGCCAAAAATACCAGAGATTTCATTGCTTGGCTAGATTATGAGGTAAAATTGTATCATAAAGGTATGTCAAAGATCGTAATTAGGATTGGTTGTTTTTTGCTTTTTATTTCATGTTTCTTATTAACTTAGTCATGAAATGCACAAAGGCCAAAATACTACTGTGGTTATGAGGTGTATAAGTTTAAATATTTCAAAATACAAACACAATCTTCTACACAGAAAAAAAAACCCACTTTGCGATCGGTTTGGTTGCCAGCAGCTTGCTGCTGTTGCCTGAAATTTGCAAGGAAGACACTGCCTTTTCCGCAATCACTCGCCCACTACTTGCTGCACAGTAGTAAAGCACTAAAAAGTGCAAGGTGCAAACAGGCAGTGCAGAGCAATCAGTCATGCAAACTGCAGCTGCTGCACACACAGTGAAACTGTTCATGCTGCATGTTACAGTAACAGAAAATACAGGCAACTTTCATCTGGGGCCTTCAGGCCTAGTATTTGTTGTTGTTTGTTGCTGTCTCATATGGCTTCACTCATTTAAGCCAGCGTGAAACGTCTAATGAACTATATTCACTTGTGTAATTTTTTTTTTTCTTTTCTTTTTAACACATCTTCAAAGCTGTATCAATCACTGGGAGGGCTTTTAAAACAAAGTAAACTTTGTTCATTTCACTCACCTATCTAACTTGGTCTTCATCTCCTCCACAGATGAGCCTGGGCCAGGTGGCCAAGCTGACCTGCTCTCCGGACTACGCGTATGGCAGCAGAGGATATCCACCCCTGATCCCTGCAAATTCCACTCTTATCTTCGAAGTGGAGCTTCTGAAATTCTGAGGGTTTAAATTGAGTGTTACTATTCATTTTTTTTCTTCCTCATCCTTTCCATCCACATTTAATAGTTTGATCAAAGGTGCTGTCATTATCATTCTCAAACCCTGATTATTGTAGAAAGAATTTGTCTCAAATACATCTTGTGTAGATGTATTTGAGACAAATGAGAACAGGCAAATAAGCGTCTTAAGGTAGTGAGATGATTGTGAAGTCTCTAAAATTTGAAGTAGTAGTAAAATAATTTGGGGAAATGCTGGTAGCTTTCTTGCTGGAAGTTGGATGACATCGGTAATACTTTTCTCTGTTCAATAAATATGAAAAACCCAGCTTAAGACCAGAATTCAGCAATGTCTCTGTTCAAAGAAATCAAAATCCACCAAGGCCAGTGCTTTATCTTGTGAATTTTAAATAAAATTATTTCAGTTGTTTCTTTCTTTGACCATGCTCAATCTCTCCACTGAAGTGACCAATAGATTCTGGGTTTTGTTTTTTTTGTTTTTGTTATTTAAAACTCTGTGTAACAGCACTGAAAATCTAACTAATTAGTGATCTAGAGGTGTTGGTAAATGACTTTACTGACCTTTTAAACAGTAGGCTCATATTTACCAAACGCATATGAGCAATATTGATCTCATCTCACTTTATGTAGAAAGTCTTTGCCAAAAAAAGCCTGTTTAATAGGTTTCAGATGAATTTAAACTGGCATTGGACGAAAAAAAATCAGTATTAAAGGATATGATTGCTGAATCTGGCCAGTTTATATTGGTAACCTGAAAATGACAATTTAATGCAGTCTTGGATGCTAAGTGAAATTTGAGGATTTATTTAGCCTTATTTTCTGCCACTTGCCTGTTAAATTTTTAAGTTACCCGTTTATCTGCATCTTACCTATTACTCAACACAAAGGGCACACGATAGCACGCCAAAAAACAAAGTAACATTTCAAAGCG